ACAACGATAATTATCAATTATAATTTTATCATATAAACAAAAACAGTTTACTTACATCAAAGACATGAAGTTGAATCTTTGTAGTGAGTAAACTGTTTTTTGTCTATATTATAAAATGATATATATATATATATATATATATATATATATATATATATATATATATATATATAACTGGTCACACGTATTCGAGGGTGCCCGACTACTAGGGCGGTTAGCTAGTCCCTATTGCAGACGCTCGCTCAGGCACATTTGTGTTTGTTCAATACCTACAGAGTCCATCTGGGATTTATACTGAAACTATGATGTGCAGACCTTACTTACAGTTTCTGGAAGAGAGCGTGTTATCGAGCAAGAACAAAAATTTGAACAAGGCCAACACGCCTAGTCCCTCAGCCAGTGCTATCGACGGCGGCCCTCAAGAGTTCCGTTTATCCAGTTTTAATCACAAGGCTTGGGTCAACCCGTGGTATGGTTTATATATATATATATATATATATAACAATTGGAAAAAAAATCTTAGATTTTGCCGACGCGTTTCGTCTTCCGACTTTTTCAATACATCTGTTTTCGTTGTCCTCTTATTACTGTAGGAACAGACGAGAGCTTGTAAAAATAATAAGAACTTATGCAACAGAAATTTATAAAACATGGATCTTTTCATTCATAAATAGGTTCGGGGTTTTTGTATATTATTTGAATTGTTCGCGATGACGGATTTCTCGCCAATTAAATCATTAACCTTTGTATTTGTTTTTTGTATGAATAATTCATGAATTTGTAAATTAATTGCACCTTTATTGAAATTAAAATAACTGATCCACGTGCAACTTTCGGATAATAAGTGCGACATTACTGTAATTATTGAACAATATAGTTCATGCCACTTTGAAGGAAAATTTACCAGTAAAAAAGAATTCTCTTATCACTATATTTGTACAAGAACGCATAACCTCAAAATTCAAATTCAAACTCAGCGTTACGACTGCACGCTCCAAAACAATAACACATTTCTACTAGCATTTTTCGGATAACAATACATCTATTTTCGTTGTCCTTTTATTACTGAGAGTAAAAACAAGAACAGAATCTATTCCATACCTGAGGATGTCTGTAGGAACAGACGAAAGCTTGTAAAAATAATAAGAACTTATGCAACAGAAATTTAAAAAACAAGGATCTTTTCATTCATAAACAGGTTCGGGGTTTTTGTATATTATTTGAATTGTTCGCGATGATGGATTTCTCGCCAATTAAATCATTAACTTTTGTATTTGTTTTTTGTATGAATAATTCATGAATTTGTAAATTAATTGCACCTTTATTGAAATAAATATATATATATATATATATATATATATATATATATATATATATATATATATATATATATATGAATTAAAATGAAGGAAATTCTAAAATATATTTTTTAGTAATTGTCGTTAATGGTTAAGAAATATATTTTCCAATTGTCTACTTTTTATCCAAATTGTCTTATCATCAAACTTTTGTCTTATCATCTTAGTTGCAGCATAAATCACAGGTGGACTGAACAAGCGTCTGAATAATTTACCACACACACACATATATATATATATATATATATATATAATCTATAGACAGACTGTTTCGCTGTATCACAGCTACTTAGTGTGTCTAGGCATTCGATTGCTTCAAACCAGGATCATAATTGACTGATTCCGAAATAGTCAGATATTTTCCCTCTAAACCCATCGTCGCATGACTGAAATATATATATATATATATATATATATATATATATATATATATATGTATGTATATATTCTCATTGTGTGTACGACATGATGTTTTAAACAGTGAAATAAAAACCTAGCGGCCTAAAGAATGAAAGTCTTGTCTAAGAAGTCTTGTGCTTTCCGTCAGGGATTAGACATGTGTTCCTTTTTGAATCTGATAAGTCACTTTGATGTCCCCTTGTAGACATTAATTTCACTATTTTGGTAAAGCTATCGATGTTTATTCAAGCAGTAGTAGTCCCGGTAAGTGTAACATTAATAGTAATAATGTAGTAGATATTGTCTTGACAGTGTTCAAAAGCATTTACGCCAACTTGCTAGCAATGATTTCTTTTCAACACCTATGCCAATTTCCCGCAGTTGAAACGTCGCAAGACTTCCATTAATGGGGTGGGGTCTACTAATTATTCGAATATGCCTGTCTACTAAGTAGACTAATCGATCCCTTTTGAAGACACCTGCTCAATCACATTTGTGTTTGTTTAAAACCCACGCAGTCGACCTGTGATTTATACTGCAACTATACTGAGCGAGCCTTAGTTACAAATTCGAGGAGAGAGCGCATTATCTGTGGTGATCAACAGTCGGAACAAGACCAGTACGCTGAAACACTCGGTCACGATGACTTATACCTTTGTGCTAGCACAATTGCCGCAAATACTTTTCAGGCATATTCCAAACGTGCCGCTTACTGGGATCGCCTCCATAGGCCGATAGCATCGAGAAGTCACCTTCCTGAGAAATCGACCATGGTGAGATTTGAACCCTGGTCTACATTTTCAGACTAGCTACATTATTTAATCCAAACAGTTTATACATTTACTACTAAGACACATAATGCCACGTACATAGGGTTGAATCATCCTCATTCCCCTCATATTTCATTGCTCATTCCACATATTTTCGAGAATAGCAATTTTGTGGAAAAGACTCCTGAGAGGGTGCTTCTGTGATCATTATCTTAATCTCTTGAAGTCGAGGATTAACCCTTATCTATTCTATATATCCTCATAATCTGAACTTTATACCTCTTGCTGTTACGTCCATAAAACAGTCTCATTCAGTAAGCGTCTGTCTTGAGCGGCCATGGACCGCTGTGTTAGCCGAAGAGTAGCAAAAAAAAAAAAAAAAAAATAACAATAAAATTAAAGAAGAAAAAATATTTACAGTTAGATAAGAGATCTAAAAGAGATTAATTTTATGAAATCAAATAGATTTTACAATGATGTCCAACTTGTACAAAGCCGAAGAGCCACTCAAGGTAGAGATGGTAGGTCGGTTGTTTTTATTTAGTGGCATAACAACTCCACTATTGGTTATGTAATGCCGAAATCTAAGTATAGTGAACACGATTATATATTTCAACTAAATACATTTTGAGTGCAACTGTATATTTTGACAGAAATTGTATGCTTTCAACTAAATAACTTTTGATAGCAAATATATGCCTTCAACTTAGTATATTTTGAGTGCAATTGTATGCCTTCAACTAAATTTATGTTGACTGAAATTGCATGCCTTCAAACATTTATTTTGACTACAAAAGAAGGCCTTCAACTAAATATATTTCGATTGCAATTGTATGCTTTCAACTAAATATACCTTGACTCTGAATGTATGTCTTTTAACTAAATATACTTTGACTGTTATTTTATCCTGTCAACTAGATATAACTTTTGACTTTGTATTTCTTTAACTACAGTTAAATTTATAATTTGCTATATAATGTATTGTTGGTAATTTTACTATAAATATGTATTGTTAGCTATTTTTATATAAATACGTATTGCTGTCACTTTTACTATAAAAATATATATTATACTTTAATAGTGTTTTGATGTTGTTTGGGTGTTCCCTTTTTTTCCTATAGGTTGGACCCTAACAGGTACTACCACCAGCCGTCAGGATGGACCTCGGAACATAATCAATTACAGTTATTTCCACTCTCCTCAAAAGCTTCATTCTCCCGATCTGATGG